CGACCGGGAAACGGTCGGACCTCCAAGATATCGAGAGACCTTTCTGTAAGAATTACAGGTCTACTTCGATACGAAAGATCAGACTCCGAGAGAGTCACATCGCAGAAGCGCCACCGAAGTGAAAGCAGTTGGAAAAGTGCGCCTTCAGGGATCTATTCTGATTTAAGTGAAAGCTCTTGTTGTCATCATGTTCCAATCTAGCTCAACTGACCCAAGCTTCCTGCTTGAGATCTCCAGTGCGTCTGCGGCTGCTGTCCCAGGCTTCCGGGATTCTCCTTGCGCTTCAGGGGGTACATGTACTGATTAGTAGTTCGGCCTTCGCAAAATGTGAAAGATCACCTCCTGCATTTTGCGCGGCTTTGGCACGAACCTCAGGCAGCAACCGGCCCTATTCTTGTCACAACCCCTCCACCTAAGCTTCCTGTGACACAAACTGTGGTCCAAAACCAGATGAACCAGTTAAACATTGGTGCATTGCAGCCCAGGTTGAAGTGTTGCATCAGGCTTCCGTGAATGAACTACAAAGCTAGGTTCGTGGTGTGTTTGCGGAGGCTGGTAGTACAGTGAAGCAACTTCAACTTCGGGAACAGCTTAGACTGTCCGAAGCTCGATGCGGTGGACTGTCTGAGTGTGGCAATTTTTCTGGTAACAACAGCTCATTGAAGCAAAAGCTGATTTGAGTTGAGTCGCGTCAGAACTCATGGCCCAACAAGTGAGCCAAGTCAGCTATCAAGAGTTCAGTGCAGCCCTAGAGGATTGTCAGCGCAGTCACAACAGATTGACATTCCATCCTAGTAAGACCATGTTGAGTACCAGATCTTGGATCGAGAGATTAAAACGCCTCGTTCTGCTGCTTTTTGCGCATTTACGTTCTCGATGCATCTTGGATTCATGTTGCTTCTGCACACACTCAAGCTCTTGGTATGACGGCTGCTTCAACGTCACATCCTATCTCTCCGTCAGCTCATCCTACATCTCCATGGCGGACCCAAGAGTTGATCAGCTCATGGAAGTAGTGCAGCAGCTGATTCAGCAGGTCAGTCAAAATGCTACGGACAACCCAGAGACCAACGATGATGGTGATGATGAAAATGAGCTAAGATAAAAAGATGTTGTTGACCACAGAGCTTTCCTACAATTGAAGCTCGAACCCGTTCCACCCGATGCAGCCAGCTTTCGATGTTGGAAGAATGGTTTCCCGGTTCAGCATTCTAAGTAAGACTCATCAGGGAAAAGTTTGGTGTCGGCACGGATTACTCGGGCCTTCGATGCTGATCGTGCTGATATTGAAGACTCGGAGTTCCTGCCTAGGTTGCGGGCAACTTAGCCAGCCTTCCTCCCAGAGTCCCAGAGACCCAAACAGCAGGAAGCTTGTAAATACCGAGTTCAACAGGTGAAAACTACAGGAAGCTGTCAATGCCTGAAGAGTCCGGAACAAAAACAATTCGGAAAGGCTTGGAAGCTGGTTGAATACCCGAAGACCCCGAAACGACAGAAACCTCGCAAATTCAATACCGGGTCCAACAGATAAAAAAGTACCGGCACAGATAGGTCCCCATGCGATAACGGACTTTTTTGCGGGATGGAGTTAGAGGCTGGAGGAGGGAGTTACCGTTCGGTGACTTTAGTCCTTGATCTTGGCAAGCCTGGTCAAAAGGTTGGTGCTTGGTGAATGTTCCAGAATCTGGGCTGTGTGTTCGTGCTGGAGATCCTGTTTCCCATCACACGACGCCGCTGAGCATGTCTTGCAGCTATGCGGGCATGGTGATTTCAGACGCCTGACCCTTTCACCTTACCATTTACGAGCCAGGGGGTGATGAAGAAGAATTTTTCCGAAAGGGAGTTGAACCGATCGAGTTGGGAGTTCTTGCCGTACGAAGAGCTTATGCTCCCAACCTCTTTCAAGGGGTGAAGGTGATCGCCTGTTGTGCTGTGGTCTGGTTTCAGATGTCTTCACACTCGAGATCCCGGCTCGTTGACTTTGCATGCATCTTGTGGAGTTCAGGTTTTTTCCCTGTCATGCGATCTCGTTGACTTGCGCGATCCGGTTGTGATTGATCATTTAGTTTGCCAAGTTTCAGCTGTGCCTGGATGTCGCCTGTTTAGGTCGCTGCCCGTGGACGGCAGAGTTGCGCAAGGCTCAGAAGGATTCAAAAGGTAGTCCGTGGCTTTCTTCAGGTCCGTTCAGCCATGATACAGAACGGAGGCGAAGTTGTCATCGGTTGGCCTCAAGACTCATCGTGTTGGTTCCTTCCTGAAGTCCATGCGTTTGTTGAGCAGCTTGGTCTTGAAATGTCTTGAAAGTGTGAACTTCAATGGATGCGCTCTTGGAATGGTTACTATCCTGAGGCATTTCACACGGTTATGCTGATGTCCTTCTTGCCGCCTGTGAATGCATTTCAGTCACCAGCATTGCTGTGCGTTTAATCGCAGTCAAGATCCCAGGATTAGTGCATCGGCTGCTAGACCGCAAAGTTGGGCAGGCAGGGGCTTATGAATCAAGTATTAAGGAGAAAGATGGATGTATTTATGTCGGCACTTGGCTTGAGAATGAGATCGCTTCAGAGACGGATGCTTTATCATGCGCTACTAGTTACTAAAGCGAGTAATGTCTTTCATTTCGGAAACCTGATCAGTGGAAGTTGCAGGCAAGAATAGCTTTCGGCGGCGATGACATTCGCCACCAGTCTGGGATGGCTGCGGTCTTTGAAGAGCTGTTCGCTTATTCGCTTGTTTCTCTCGAGGGTTTGAACAGAACACCGCAGTTGCCTTCGGGCTGCTTGAGTCCAGCGACAACCACAAGGGATGTGGTTCGTTCATAGACCCAGGAGCAACTCAACACGAAGCATAAGACTCGCGCGCTTCTGCCCCCGAGCTAGTTCCGGAAAAACAATAAGCATCTTCATCCGACGAGGGCGCTCTTGCGCAAATCATTGTACGTTCACCTTGAACCTGAACCTTCCGCTTATTGGCAACAGCACTTGCGCTGGATGTTGGTCAATCCAGGAGGCGTCGAATTCCACTAACCTGCCGTCAGTGTACCGCTTCCCAGCGCTTGTTCTTGTTCTCTGCGTCTACGTTGATGACCTGACTTGTCCGGGAAGCTGCCGTTGCATGAGGAGTTGTGGAGAACCTTGTCAACACAAGTTGAGATCGAGCCTTATGCATTCTTGTCCCATGCGCTTGGTCGAAATCATCGTTTTGTCATGTGGAAAGTACAGAAAATTCTTGCACTTGAGACTGCTGCCTTTGGCTAGGCAATGTGTTGAGCTCTATGAATCGATCGCCAGTTCCGTGGTGAACAAGCAGGGTATCCTTCATCTCGATGTGAGTACTTTTCCTGAGTCTGACCGTGGCTCGAGGGGTCGACTGTCGGATTCTACAGCCAAGATTCTGATGAAGGTGCTGTGGCTTGCTCGACTCAGCAGACCCGACATTCCAGTTGCTGTCATGACACTTGCATCTTATGTATGCACGTAGTCGATCAATGTCAATGACCATCGGCGCACATGCCGTCTTGTTCATGCTTTGGACTTTGGTCTGGTAGCAGGGTGCTCAGTTAATTGCCGCGCACAGATAGATGTTCAACTCTCTGTCTCTATAGCAACCGTAGCTTGGCCGTAACCCAATGAGGCATCTGGAAATCGCTGGGTAGCAATGGACAACAAGTCAAGTGCATGCTGCCGATTTTGGGCAGTGGAAGAGCCTTGGTGAGAGGATCACTTCTTTGCCCGTCCGTTTTGTTGTACGACAATCGGATGTTTTCGTTAGAAAAAGTAGAAACCACCAGCTCGCACGTAGAAGCCACATTCAGACGATGTGCTTTCGCAAGATGACGAAGCTTCACGGAACCTCTTTCCGGACAATCAATATACAAATTTGATTCTCTTCCTGTGCATGAAGACGAACGCTTGGGATGAGTGACTCCCATACCTCAAGCATCGGTACAGCATCAGAAAACAGAGGTCCACTCAATAAATCGAATGCTGCTTCAGTGCTACTCCTTGAAAGAACTTTTTCACGCGACTGTTCCGAAAGAGGCGAGAAGCTGGAAGGACCTTCGAGGGTTGACACATATCTACTTGCTGACCGGGGCCGAGACAACCAGCGAAATCTGCACTTCCCCATGTACAGCAATGTGCGTTTTTTGATCGTGTGGAAAGGAACCTGACACGCAAATTCGTTTGGCTCAAGGATGGAAGGAAGCCGAACTGAGGTATGCTTTCAGTTTAGGCTTGGGGTTGCATTCGACGTGTTCCTGATTCCCTAACCGGCCCTATCCCATTTTCCGATCCTTCTTCACCCACGCGTCTGCTTCGGTTGTTATCGGAATAACTTTCGCAAACCTCTTATGGTCCCACAGCGGAGGTCCACTTCGGAAAGCCCAGTGCCCCGTGCACCGAGTGCAGCACGAGTTGGGTCCTCGCAAACCGTGGCACAGAGAGCGCCAATCCGCACATTGAAATTGCTCTCTATTTGTGCACTTAAGGAGGAAGCTCCGGAGGCGCTCGTGAGAGTTCACTCTCTCTCTCTTTCCTTCTCTCAGACGGCAGAGCGTTTCTGCTCTCGTGCACGCTCCTCATGAGGACCCTGAGCATGAGGACGACGAGGCAAGGGTAAATGCAACCACACAGACGCCTTGCACCCCTGCTGCCACTGCTGAGCAGGCTCGTGGCTTTGCAGCGCGCACCAAAAGGACTGCAAAGCCATGCAAGCCCCAACAGCCGAGCGTCTGGTTGTAGGACACTCGTTTCCCAACGCACTGTCAGAAATGTCAGAATGCCCGGAGATCTCAAGTGTTTGTAATTGAGTAAATCGGATGCTGGGTTTCGTTCTGCCATGATGATGTGCTGACATCTCTTGAATTACTCATATTTCCTCGTCCTCACACCCAGCGGAACTGAACTTTCTGTTCGTGTTATCGGATACTGATGGCCTGTCTGATGTGTAAGTAATCAATAGCTACAGCATGCTACAGCCGATTGTGCAGACATGCGAAGCCTGTCGCTACAATATTTCAGGACGGCGGCTGTGGTCCAGCAAGTGCACGGCATCTGCCTGTGTTGCTGGTATATGTTCGCGCTTTGTCAGTGTCTACCTGTGGATGTTTGTCATATGCCACATTGTGGCACATATGTGCGGATCGTTACTTGCAGGGTTTTCTTGTAGTATCTTAAGTTGGCCTCCTCCCTCCCTCCTTCGGCGGGTAGGGGCGCAGGCAGGGCCAGGGGCAGTCGAAGTGGCAGTGGATAGCCGGGCGGCTTGGCGGGCGGGGCTTTCGGTAACTCAGACACCTGCTGTGATGTTTCAAGCACCCTGACCACTTTGCGCAGAATTCATGAAAGGTCAGTCTTCGTGACTGCAGCGGAATCTGCGAGCGCGAGGGTTTGTTGCTGAGACTGAGACTCTGAGACATGGGCGTGCCGGGCATGCTGCTATTCCCAGCCTCCTTCAATTTATCAACAGAGTCACATCCTGGCTGGGACATGTGCATGGCGGTGAAGCCTACATCGTGTACGACTAGTCCATACAATCATCTGATCTGCCTGCTTCGGCTCCTGCCGTGCAAGCAAATCCTTGCAGCAATGAAGCAGAAGGTGGCAAGCAAATTTGAACACTTGTCTATACTTCACAAACCATGTTCGCTGTGCTTCATTTTGCTTGACTGAAGTCTTTGCCTGCCACCTGTGACGGTCAGAAGGCTTGGCTGCGCTGTGCTGCACTCTGATGTGCTTCAGGCTAGACTTTGTAATACTTTGTACTAAGCACACAGTACGAGACTGTCCATCAGTTGCACGATGTGTACCATTTGCGCGACTACCCCATCTGCCTATGCGCGATTCCACTGATGGCAAATCCAATGTGGATTGTTTCACCACGACGGAACTTGAGAGCTAGAGCAAGCTCGGCATCTGCAGCTGTGCTTCATGCCTGAAGCGTCACATTGCACGCATGTGTCACCCCTTCAGGAGACAGGCAGCCTCACGCAGTGACTTTGCTCACTCACTAGTGGTAAGAAGGCCGTAGTTGAGTGTGTGTGTGTGTGTGGCCCGTGGCTGGTGGAATTGACCTGTGAACCAACTGAATCAATGGCTCATAATGGCTCCGCAAGAGAATCTGGCTTCTCGCGGAAGCCACGACCTGGTGGCTACCTGGCGCCTTGGGTCGATTCCTGCTTGACTTGACAGGAGCAGGTTGAACCTGCCAACTCGGATACGCGCGAGACTTACCGCAGCAAACCCATGTCCAGGTTTGCTGCCATCGTGAAGGGAGCAGACATCACTGCTGATTATGCTTACTGAGGGGACCGTGCGTCCTGCTCGTCACAAAGTGTGGCTTGGGCGCGAGAGTCCCGCTCAGTTCCAAGAGGTCCGGCAGAAGTTGGCCCCTCCGTATCGTTGACAGTACAAGCTCGCGTCATCTTCTTTGTCAGAATTGGCCTCGGACGTCGTGGAGGAGTCCCTAAGCGCGTTCTGAAGCAACTTTGGCTGCATTTCAAAGGAGGTGTGCAGCCGGAAGTGGTTTTTGTACGGTGCGGCTCAGTGGCAGCCTGTCTTGACGACAGATTCGCCTCCGGCTTCCTTCATGCATCAATTGCAAGGGAGGGTTCCCGGCTGACCAGGGTGGCCGACTATGACAGCGTGGCGGCTGCATGCAGCTAAGCATACTTGCTTCGGGCTGTGCATGCTGCCGGCGTGTACTCCATTCCATTGAAGTCGGCGTTGCTCGATGTTGCTCGTATCGGAATGTAGCGCATACAGCAGATGAGCCCAGACGGTCCGAGCCAGTCACGGCTAAGGGCATAAGTTGATGCCAGCACGAGGGAGCTCGAGGGAGTGTAAACTAGATGAAGCGGCTTGCAAGCTAGTGACGCAACTGTCGCTAGGAAAACCCAGTACTAGCATATCATCCTTAGAAAACCTGTTGCACATGGAAAACCCGTGATGAGAACGAGTATCATTAGACTAACCAGTGATTAGCATGATTTTCCAGGATTCTCCTCAGAAAACCCCGTGATATTATTGTCCTGCTCCTGAAGGCGTGTGTCGTGTCCGGAAAGGACATCCGGGAACCTGAGAAGCCCTTGGGAGCGTTGGGCCCCGAGACTTCGACCTGGGCTGGGATTTCAGTTCTTGCTTGCATCGACCTTTGCAGAGCCGCTAAGAGACCAAGTTCCAAGTCTATTCAGAATTCATTCAGGGACACGGCATGCTTGGTATGTGCGCAAAGCACCTGCAGGCTCCAGCTTTACCTCAAGGACCATGGGGATTCCACAGAGGCGCGCTCTTGCGCTGCAGTGTCCACATGAACGGCCCTGCTTTTTTTTCGTATCGCGAGCTTCTTCCGCACTGGGTTTGTGTTGTCATGCCCTTATCCGGAAGCATGCAAGAGCCATGAATTGTCCACGATGTTGCTGCTGCTGCTGCTGCGAACGAAGCGTGTTCACTGAGGCGATTTTCAACAATCTGCCGCAAGAGGACATGATGCCGCGCCCCGAGAAATCAGCAATGCTCTCGAGCTACAGCACGTCTGTGGCACGAGGCCGTACCAAGAGCAGGAAGACGAAGCAAAGCGGAAGTGCGCCGTGAATCGAAGTACAGCTAAAGTATGCAATCCGAGATGTTAGCCAGAATGCTAGCCTGCTAGCTTGGAAGCACGATCCTCCGTGAGTTGAATTCGGTCGGCAAGCGGAGAGTCGAAAGACCGGCGACAGGCGTTTACGGAGGTTAGGTAACGCTGTCAGAGCTGCGAAAACACGAAGGCTCAGTAGGACGACAGCTCGAAGGATCTGCGTTTGTGAATTTTCCTTCTGCCGAAGATGACTCCGCTTGACAAGCGGGTGCAAGCGCTCCTCGATCAGGGCCCGGGTTTCTGTTGGCCCCTGTGGATTTTTGTTGTGCCCTCACCCCGTCCTGACGGAGGGTTCCTGTGGGATTGTGTGCACATCGGGAGTGGTATGTCGAGATAGAGGACATTCTATCGACCTTGTGTAGGCTTTTAAACCTCCATGTACCGAGCCGCCCGAGGTTCGTATTTGGGGGGGGGTGTTCTGCAGGCCCTGTGCAGACATGCGGGGCCCGAAACGAAGCCAGAGGCACGGGTCCAAAAAAATCCTGGCAACATTTTTGGGCGGGTTCGAAGGCGACCAAGCAGGTCGAGGCGAGGGAAGGTCCGAAAAAAGCTGCAAGCATTTTTGGCGGGTGTGAATTCCACCCCGCAGGTTCGTGATGCCGGTCCGAGGGGCTTTTTTGCTCCCAGCGGTTCGAAAGGCGCCCTCCACGGGCTCAAAGAACCCGAAATTAAGAGGCATGGAAAGGATGTTTCATATTTTTCTGACCCCCGTATGGGCTTCTGCGGCTCCTTCTCACGCATGTTCAGCCTCTGGCCGTGGAGTGGCGAGCTTGCCCCAGTTTTATGGTAGTTGTTAATTCTGCGTGGAGCTGCGCCGCGCGGGGCACGGGATGTGCGCTTCAAGTCAGAGACACGGGTGAGTTGCTTGAGTGTCAGCAGGGAGTGCAGCAAGGAGTCGTGTCCTGGATGTTTCTGACGACTGAACGCCGTGTTGACCTTGCAGTCGGAAGGCACGTCCTGGTTGACTGTGAAGAGCGATGGAACGCATGGCCAAAAAGTACGACCTAAAGGCAAGAACCTGTGGCGGCCAGCAGAACTCGCAGCCATCAAGGCAGCCTTTCCATGCCTTTCCAGACAAGGCTCCAGTGCGAGTGTGCGACAATGTCTGGCTGACTGGAGCCGCACGTGCCAAAAGAGCGTCAGAAGTGGTACATTTCCCGAGAAAACAGACGAGGCGGGGTGGGCAGGCTTCCGGCCAAAAACCGGTCATGCAAGCGTTGCTGGAGTCCGTGCAGGCCTGGTGGTGGGAAAGCCCGATATGGACATTGGGCATGCCTTCTTCGCCTGGACGTGCCACGGGTTCTGAATCACCCAAGATACCCTGAGAAGGCCGTGCTGTGTTTGGTCGTGGATGGCGAACACAATATCGCTACGGCTGGAGCTGTAATTGCGACTGCAAGCGTTCTGGCGAAGGGTCTTGGCTTGACCAACATTGATGTCGTTCGGCGTGGTCTGAAGCGGGCGCAGCTGCCCTTGCACGCCGGTACATCGCGTCCGGTGCTGCAGGAGTACATGGACGCAGAGACGACGCCCAACTTCAACCGGCTCTTTGAACTCTTCTGCGAAGTCATCAAGAGTAGACCGCAAACCCCTGGTCGCACAAGTGCAGTGCGACCTCAATGACGCAATAGAAGGAGCACGGCGTAAAGTCATTCCAAGCTCCCGCGTGGCGTGGGATTACCCGCACATGATGAGCGCGGTCCATGCGAAGCTCACCGCCTCAACGCCAAAGCGAGCGAGACGATGCGCATCAGGATTTTCGCCTTGGTCCTTGCGACGCGGCATCTACCAACGCTCGAATTGTTCAGTGCATGTTGAGACTCTAAGGTAGAAAACGTGAAGAAAATCTACGGTCTGCGGCAAACCATATTCGCCGACTGCCTGGATGTCGTCTGGGTGGCCTACTGGTGTGGGACGCTGGGCAGCCATCCAAGGTCTGGCGCCGGAAGTCAGACACTGGATGTTTTCATGGCTTCTGGCAATCGGTGCTAACGAAAAGGAGCACCCTTGCGGCATGCTCGACATGATGCAGCCATTGTTCACCGACCACTGGCTTGCGTATACGCAGGTCGACGACGCCCCAAGCCCGTCATTGTGGCCCAGGTCGCCGGAGCCTTCCTTCAGTGGCACGGCCCTGCACAAGGTAGGTCAGAATTCGGCCGCAGAATACTGGATGCATCGAGATTGCGGCAATCATTGTGTGGTCGAGTGCGCAGGAACGAAGTTCTGGATTATGCATAGTGACGGCGGCCCCTGCGCAAGCCAGCGTTCAGCCGAGGACCGCTAGACGGCTCGTGGACATGCTGCACATGTCAGAAGCGGAAACGCGTCAATTGTGCCTCGATGCCGAGATCCTGATATGCACCGAGAGTGGTGGCTATCGAATCGCATCAGCGTATCGGAGCTCGAGCTGCTTTTCGGTGCGCATGCCGTGATCATGGAAGGACCTCTTCCTGGCGAGTATTGCGCGAAAATCTACCGTGGAGCCACATGCCAGAGCAGGCATGTGTGCACATGTGGCACCTTTGTGTCCAGCGGGCTGGCCCGCACGTGTATTTCGTTTCTTGCTTGCAGGGTGAGATGGACCTCGGTTACCTTCCCGAAAGCAGAAGCCTCCAAGAAGAAAGCGTGCGTGTGTCCGCGCACAGGTAGCTAGAAGTGCCAAGGTGGCATCTGGACATGCAGTGTGACGAGAGAAAAGTTCGTGTTCTTGCTTGCGAGACCCGTGTGATGTTTCAAGGTCAGCGCCCCTGATCCTCCGCTCACTGCAGACATACACATGAATCAAGCAGATAAGCATTATGCCAGCGTGGTATTCGCCAGCAGTGAAAGACCACCGCAACGACCATGACGATCAGGACGCCCACGAACGACCAGCACGAGAGCCAGGAGACCAGCAGGAGCCCAGGAAACCGCCGCAAATACTGCCAGCACACCACCAGCAGCCCCAGGAGACCACCATGAAACCACCAGTAAGACCCCAGGAGACAAGCAGGAAACTGACAGACCTCAGGAGATTAGCGAGAAAACCGAAAGAATTACAAGGAAGTCTCCCCTGCCTTCTCCGGTACGGTGCAGAAAAATTCGGAAGGCACCCCGACCAGGATGTTTCAACGCCTTGTCTGCTGGGTTTGAAGCTTGTTCAGGGCGCAATGGCTAGGACGCTTCCCAGCCCTGTCTGGTGGGATTGAAGGAGGGGGACACCACCCGTCAACATACTAAAAGTCCCGTCAACATGCCAAGAAGCTAATGACACGTTGACATGCCAAAAGTCAATTACCGTGGACATTCCACAAGAGGTAGCCATGGACTGGCATTTGGGTTTTCTGTGGGGCCGCTTTGTGCTTTGTGATCTTTGTGTACAATGTACAACACATCCATCCAGGGGTCACATGGCTTTGTTTCGAGAGATCACAGATTGCCGGCGTGTGTCGGCGGAGAGAAATTGAAATGCAAAATTGTAAATTGACCCGTCAACGTGTCAAAAAGGGCCCGCTGCCATGGCAAAGGCGCGAACACACACCCCGTCCCGGGCGGAGAAAAATTGAAAGTGAAAACTATAAAATGACCCGTCAACGTGCCAACCGTGTCCCGGAACCGTGGTCGTGCCATTGCGTTACCGGACGGCCCCAAGCCAAGCCAAGCCAAGCCAAGCCAAGCCAAGCCAAGCCAAGCCAAGCCAAGCCAAGCCAAGCCAAGCCAAGCCAAGCCAAGCCAAGCCAAGTCCATATTTTATGCCTGACTGGAATCTTGCGAGGCTCAGACGATGGTGTATTCAGGGTTCACCCCGCTGACCGGTGGTCCGACAATGCTTGGGCAGAAGTACTGTTGGGAGACACACGTGCATAACAGCCATCCTCACCTAGAGGGATGCTGTTTGTTGTAGTGCATTCATTACACAGCTTCAGCTTCAACGTTTAAATTGATATCGCAAAGGGCCCACCATCGAATCCGACACTGTGGTTAGCAGCGCCTGCATCCCCGCCGTTGAACTGAGTTGCCTTTGCTAAGCAAGGACCCTTTGCCTCTTCTGCTTGTGAATCGGAAACTTCGCATTGCCTCAACTGTACCGGCTACGGGGACCCGAAGCTGCGGCCGGTTTGCGTAAGTCCTGCGAGCGGGGGACCCATCCAAAGCCGTGACCATGCGTAGGATGAGGGTAGTAGTCAGTAGTCCTAGTAGCAGCGTGGTAGTCGTGGTCGTGTCGCAACCGGAAACCCACCCAGAAACCCCCTGCAGGATCGGAAACAAAACTCCAGTGGGTTTCCAGGGCCCGAAAAAATTGTTCCAGTGGGTTTCCAGGGCCCGAAACAAACCCTGTCGCAGTCATGGCATGAAGCCCACTCGGGGGTCGAAAACAACCTCGGCCCTCGAATCAGGCCTACAGAAAGAAAGACTGTCAGGTACGAGGAAGCGCTGGAGGCCTTCCGCCAGGAGGAGACACCTTAGCCTTGCCATCGTCAGTGTCAGATGCTAAAGTTTCTCATGCTTTTTTCACGGACACAGACGGTTGCGAGATGTTGCGAGGACTCCGAGGAAGTCCTGCTGGGCAATACCGGTGGAGCAGTCACACGAATCAAAGTCAGCGGGGTGCTTGGTGGAAGTTTGCATCGGCCGGTTTCGTAGTTTCTTAGATTTGTGAATTGAGCACATGGGCCGGGTTTGAGTCTGTATAGCGAGAGGTCTCTTTCATGCCAAGTTGGCTAAGTCAGCTGTAAACCTTGGTTGCGAATGTTGAGAGGAACTCCAACAAACAGGAAGCTGCTGGTCGTCGTCTGTGTAAATTAAAGTTGAAGTGCCTTCTTGCTCTTTGTGGTGACTGCATTTTTAGGGCACCTGCTACATCTGCATGTCCAGCACAGGGGCACAGGTTGCGTACAGTTGTGCCCTTGGGCTAAGCAGGCGCAAGTCGCCCGAAAATTTGTGACATGTTCCGACTGCTTTTCGAGACAGGCACAGTGCCAATTGTCACCAGGCTGATCCGAGGCACCATTCCGAAGCGTTTGTTGTTTTTCAGTGGGTATGCCAAGTGACCACAGGTATACGGAAGTTGGCTAGGTTGCCATCCGTACGCAATGCAGATTCAGAGCAAATTACTTGTAAAATGTTCAATTTTCGTGGAGTTTCGGCGCAGTCATATTTGCTTAGTTCCTGGATCCGATCACCATCGCAACCACAGCATAGAACCGTGTCGCGAGGGGGCATGTTTTTGAATGCATGACGTGTGCCCCCTGTATCGTTTGATTTGTGATTCAGACGAGAAGTGTAGGATCTGAGTTTGAGCGGGTGTCGCTCGGCAATAAGACTTCTGGTAACACCCGATTGCAGCCAGACGGATCCTTGCGAAGAATTGGCGAGCGGGTGCCGAGTCTGTTTGACATCTCCGGACCTTCCCGGACTACCGGCCGTCAGATTTGACCTGCGGACAGGCCGGGTGCTTGCAAAGACCAAGGGCAGCGACCGCATCTGTGTTGCCAGTAGCTCAGCAACTCACAATCTTCCAGTTTTGTATGCTGCCACTGTGCTGGTCCGACTTTGTGCCATTTCGTCGACAAAAGATGCTCGGCAACTGCTTGCTTGTAAAGCCTGGGTCGTGGGTCCTTGTGCAAGGCATCGCTGCTGTCTTCCATCGAAGATGACCAGGATGAAACTGGCAAACAACCAGCAAAGCCTCGTGCATACAGAGAGGGGGAGCACAGTCGCTTCGACTCTTCGCCTTGAGCTCAAGGTCCACGCCATCCAACTTAGCGGCTTCAAGACTGCAAAGGCCATGGTGACTTTTTCTTTGCCACACTGCTGTGCATGTAGACCAAGCTGTCTTGCGCACAATCTGTGCGACTCTGTGTCAAGGGCAGCGGATCGAGTGGCAGACAGCGCCGGCAGCTCCTTACGAGGTTCGCCTCGTACCCGGATCGGAGATGAAGTACTTGATTATCGAGCAGCGGAGGCAGATGAAAGCAGTCACTAGTAGTATGCAAAAACTGGAGAGTAGTTCACACTTCCAGCATCATCCAACTTCCGGACTGGGAACTCAGTGGATGTGTTGGGAAGAAGCAGAGCACTGCAGCGCCCGCAGGCTCTGAAGCTGCGCCGTCCGAGGCACCGGCGCAGAAGGCCGAGGCAAGGAACAGCAGGGGTCGTCGCGACGCGGTGCAGCAGTGGGTCTGTTAAGACCCCGCAAAAGCGCTAGAGGGAATGCTTGTACTACTAGCGTTCGCTACCATCCGTGCAGGTTCCAGCTCCGCTCCCGGTGGAGCGCACGCCGCGCTCCAAATTGACACAGAGCCTGGCCAAGAGAAGGAGCTTGTCAGCACATAGCTGAAAGTTGGCTTAGAGTGATGGCCCTTCCGAAAGCAGTGCGGCGCATGTTCATTCAGATCTTCCTGGACAGGCGCTCTTCCAACATGTCCTCACCGAGGCCCGGCAAAGTGCATCCCCTCGCAGCACTCTTTTACGCATTTGGTCACTGGCTTTAAGCTAGAGTGCTGGCAGAAGCATGTTTATGTTGGTGGGGAAACCTCGAACTCTGAAGGATCTGAAAACTCTACAGGTCCTGTGTTGGCTAGGAAGAGCCTAAGACTAAGACCGAAGCAATTACAGTAGTCATACGAAAGCATACATACACTACGGGATGGGTTGGGTCGGAGACTTTACACTCCCTGGAAATGCAAGCTGGCGAGCTCTGGACCCCAAGCGAAAATGCTGCATGCGAAAGCTCGATCTCGGTCTACGCATGTGGTGACGTTCGGTGGAAAGTCGTGAATCGCGACAGGACATCTTTGGTGCGAAACTCAAAACTCTCCCTAGGACATAGGCACCCCAGGGCCTCCGTTGCTGGCATCTGCTCAACAGCGCAAACTTGATCAACCTCGTGCGGCCCAAGTTGGAACCCTGAAGCCGAATCGAGACCTGCAGAAATCTTCAGGTTGGCGTTGTTGCATCGTAACTTTGTGCTGTCACATGTAACACGCTGGTGCTGGATTGCTGCAGTAATTACTGTAGTTATTTATGTTGTTATAGAATTCCCCAACAGCGGATGCGCTTATGGGGTCTACAATCTGGTGAGCAAGTCTCGGATTACGGGCTCTCGAACTTGGAAGTGTCAGGGTGTGCATGCACGTGATTGTAGAAACTGGAACTGGCGTCCACAATTGCAAACGTTTTTTTGTTGGTTGTAGGCACGAGATCGCGGCAGTCTTTTTGCATGAGCATGTCTTTTTGCATGCGGAGTGAGATCCAAGTGCGACCGCATATGTCTTTTCGTATGAAACATGCCCTTCTGAGCACGGAGAGAGATCCAAGCATTTCCAAGCGTGCTCGCGGCATCAGAGTGCAGCAGTCTTTTCGTATGAACATGCCTGTTTGCGCAGAAACATGTGTCTTTTTTCTTTTTGGGTGCACTGAGTGAGATCCAAGTGTGCTGCAGCAGACTTTCATTGCGTGAACAATCATGAACATGTCTCTATGCGCACGGAAGTCGCACGGAGGAAAGAGATCCAAGTATGCTCGCAGCGCGAGAACGCAGCAGTTTTGTATTGCAAGAACATCTTTCCTTGCGCACGGAGAAAGATCCCATGCAAGTGTGTTCGCGGCGTGAGATCGCAGCCGTCTTTATTTGATTGCATGGGCATGTTCCTATGCGCACTGAGGGAGATCCAATTGTGCTGGTGGCGTGAGAACGCAGCAGTTTGTTTGCATGAACATGTCTGTTTGTGCAGGGAGTGAGATGCATGCAACTGTGTTCGCGGCGCGAGAACGCAGCCTTCTTTGTCTTGTATAATGAACATGCATGTCTGTTCGTGCACGGAGAAATCGAAATCCCAGTATGCTCGCGCAAGCACACCGCAGTTTCGCTGATCTAGCTACATGTCTAAATGCGCCGCATGCAGACATACGCACATTACATGTCTTTGCGCACGAACCATCATGTGTGCGTATGGCGTGTGATGCCGCAGAAGACATGTTGGCGAATGAACATGTCCGTGCCCACGGAGAGAGCAACGCGGCACTCCGTCGACCTCCCCATGTCCATCATGTCCTTGCGAACGGAGAAAGGTATGCGAGCGGCCGTTCGTAGAAACATGTTTCGTCGCACACGCAGGTCGAGACGCGGCCAATGCATGTGCTTTTGAGAAGCGCGGCAACTGTGGTACGAGCTGCACATGTGCGTGACGGAAGCGTTTGTGCCATGCGTCGCGAACGCAAGGAGTGCGAACACAGCAGTCCACGAATATATTGTTGCGCAAGATGGGGACTGCACATGTGCTCGTGAAACAGTTTCCCTGATGCATGATTTGGCCATGCATACTTGACATTACTTGGCCTGTGTTCAAGCATGGGACCCACCCCGGGTAACGTGCGTCGCGGACGCAAGGAGCGCGATCGCAGTAGTCCGGGAACATACATACCTTTGCATACCTTTGCGATCCTTTGAGCACTGCGGTTATTCCGCATATGCTAAGTACCCCACCCAGCAGTCCAGGAACATACCTTTGCGCACTGCGGGGATTCCACTGTGTTCGCACAGCAAGCAGTTTCCCTCATGAATGGTTTAAATTTAGATTAGCAACATGTTTGGCCTGTTGAGCACCCTTGCGTAGCCGTGCGTGAAGCGCGTCGCCGACATTCGCCGACACAAATGGCTCGAATCCAGCAGTCCATGCACACTGCGCGGATTCCATATGTGCTCGCACACCGAGCAGTTTGCAGAATCAGCCGAGGAGTTGAAGGCTTGGCGTGTTTATGCGAGTGAACCCTGCCTGGTAACAATGCAGGTTTGCCAGACGGCGACAAAATTGAAGCGGCTTTTCTTTGAAAGGCCTTACTTAGGCATCCACTGGAGAAAAAAAGTGTGGTGTTCTATGGCTGTTGGGGCTTGTGGCTGAGATAACAACGTGACGTAACGTATAGAGCATAGACGGAGCCCTGGCAGAGATCAAGCCTGCAGGAGATCTCCGCAGAGCGCCGGTTGGAGCCCCGATAGCTTACTGTTGCCGCGTCGTGCCATCTTGTCTGTGGACTTATCCATGGATTTCAAAAGAGCGCAGCTGCATGTCGAGAAACTTCCGGATTTACGTTCCGTGCCTGTCGGGCTTGTCGCCTGGGAGATCTCTTCTTTGGCAGCATCGCTCACACTGGGCTGCAATCGGCTCTTTGCCGTCAGTAAAGCGAAGACTCAGTCCCTCTCCCGACCACAAGGCTCGCAAATGCTCGCAATGCTTCGCAGGATAATTTGTCGGGTGACACGGACCCAAGAGGAATCGCCAAGCGGTAGCGGCCAGCGATGGACGCCTTTGAGTCAGCCCTTAAGGGAAGCGGTGGCGCAATGTGGCGCATGCGGATACAGAATGACTGACTAAGGTTCGACCTTAATGTGTCAAGCCTGTACCTAAAGCGCTAGCGAGGAGCGCCCGCGTGCATGCAGTTGCACAGACAGCTGAACACGAGCTTGCTGGCTGAGTTCCAAGCTCCATACGGCTGCTGAAGCCCAAATTGCGGGTGCTGAAGATGCTCGGCTGAACATGCTTGACCGTACCGTGCACTCCATTAGGACGGCGGTATGTGTTTGGCATCGGACTCTTAGATCCCACACTGGCTCAGTTGTCACCAAGGAGCCCCTTCTACGCGAAGAGAATGCTCCCCAGAGTCTTCATGTTTGTCTGCTTCCCAGCTGTGTAATGAGATTAATTAGGTGTCTCTGATCGGACAACGTCCCAGGTTTCCAGACAACGAGTGTAAGTCCAGTCATGAGTGCTATCTCGCAGCGACCAAACACGCGTGATGCAACATGCGCAGTAGACTGAGCCTACACACAGACATGGACTCTGCGCTTCAGTTTCATTCAGATCTATGTATCTGATCGTATCTGCACTACTGTAGCGCGGAGTCCGAGTGTCCCTGGAGAGAAGTTAATGTCAAGTCCCACAGCGAGGACCTCAACCTTCGGCGGTTCGTGCCAGCGACCTATCACACAAAAATGCACATGTCTATGCATTGAGTTGTGAGGCTGCATGTGGTGTTCTTTCAGGACAGCACCCGATAACTATTGCTGGTTCGGACAGCAATGCCACTAGACCGCGCGCCATCCTGCAGACTCAATTACGATTGTTTCTCTACGTTCTCGTGCTACAGGGAAGCTGCTGGATGCCTTCATCCCTCAAAACTTCAAAACATGCTTGAGATGTTGAATGTCAACGATCACAAGATTCAAAGTGCCGCGCCTGCCAGTATTGTCATGCACCAACAGACCTAAACAACAGCGTCTGCGACGCCATTATTGCCAACAGCAGCAGCAGCAGCAGCGGCGGCAACAGCGACAACACCAGCAGAACATCAGCAACACCCGCAACAGCAGCAGCAACAGCAGCAGCAGCGGCAGCAGCATCATAAGGACGAGAGACATGAACAGACAACAGCAGAGTGAATGACAGTGCGACAGGAGAGTGCGAATCCATCGCGTCAGCAGTCAGGTAATGTTGCAGAGCAGCAGCATGTTTTGTGTCCTTCAGGTTGTTTGGGGTTGCCCCAGTGGCATCGATGAAGTTTGATCTTGACATGTCAAGACGAGTCAGGCTCTCAAGCGAATGAGCTTCCTGGCCCTCTGCTCAGCCATCATGAGTGAATTGCAGAAGACTGACTAGCCTGAAAACCTGCACGAATGTCGCAGTTGGTAACACCATGACCTTGAAGGGTTCCAACCAGGCAGCGAGCTGGAAGCAGAGAGGCAGGTACCTGCCAGATTCCTAGCGCAACTCCGCCGTAAGCTATTGCTCGTAAATGGTAACGGAACCCGAGGTCGGCCCAGGGCCACAGCGGGTCAACGTGACCTAGCCGGCCAGCTCCCAGATTGTACAGATTGCAACTATTTACAAAGTAATTCGTGCAAGTGCCAGCCAATTGGTAGCAAGTGAAATAGTTTTCGTCATCAAAGTATTGACAAGGGCACAGTAGACGCGTGTTTCGATGCTATCGTAGGAAACAGGCATGACTGTGATGTGATTTTTCACATCAAATTCACTGCACCTGCAGATGATCTGCCCGCATCGGACATCGATGGGGCATGGCTGCTGCACTATTCCGTGTGTTTCAATGGTGAGCGGGCAGATCTGTGGGGATGGCTGTGGTTGCTGCCCCCCACAGGCAAGGAACATGTGAAATTTATCAGTGGCGTCTTCGAATAGATGCTCCGTTTGGAGTCCAAGCTGAGTGCACCTTTCGTTTAGCGATGTTTTGTTTGCACATTTTGCAAGTTGCCTTGACCTTGGGAGCTGTGCCAGCACAGCGACCCAATTCAACCTCGCTTGGTGCGATTATGTGCGATTGCAAAACTCTGGGTCCTTGGCCCCGCTGTTTTCGCGCCATTTCGCGCCCGCACCCGTCCTTCCGGATTTAGACCCAATAGGAGGTCCGCGTCTTTATTGCTCGTCACTTGCCGTTTGTGCGGCAGTGGATGAAGAGTGTGCATCAGCGCGGCTTCATGCAGCCCCTCGTCCATGCCCCAGCTCATTCGTTGCTTGCAACCAGCCTCCAGACAAGAGCCTACTGTAGGGCGCCGCACCAGTTCCTGGAGAATCCTGATGTCCCATAGCCTAACCGTATGCTTCAAAAGGTTCAGGTTCAACGTAGGTCATGTCGAGTTCGCTGTGAGCCATGCCGGACCTGAGCAGAGCGGCGCTCCAAAGTGTGGGCATTTTTCTGCTGTCTGCCCACGCAGCTTCTGTCGCTCGGGACAGCGAGACTGCAAGCACGACAACGACTACGACAACAGTCCCTCCGTGCCATGGGCTAATATTGGCCGTGATCATGATGGGTTGTTTGATGTTGTTGGTGTAACGAAGGGATCATACTTGGAGTGTGCGCGGCGTCAGGTCAGCAAGCTGTGTGCAGCCACTGTGCTTTATGTCTGGGTAGATGCCGGCTTGGCGAAGTTTGCACTTTGAGGGGTTTGGTGGGGTGTTTGGGCACCGCTGCTCGACGCTTTTCATTGCCTGCATCCACAGCCCAGCTGTCAGCCAACTGTGTCATTCTAGTTCTACTGCCCGCGAGACAGTATAGTGCGAGACGTTTGTCGCATCAGTTGTCCGATGTGATCAAGACATCCAGAACACATGACCTGAACTGTTGCTTTCGGTCTGGATACATGCTCTTGAATTTCGCAGGAACCGTCCTCCGGCTTGGCTGGGTGCTGCCTGGGTGGCCTCCTCTTTCAGCGACTGCACTCAGTGCGGCTTCGGATCCTTGGCGGGGACGCCAGTTCGAGGTCTTTGAGTTTGAGATCTTTGTTTTGTTCTTTCTTTAAGTCTTTGTTTGTTCCTTTCGATGCTAAGCGAAAGCCGTGGAGTTTATGGCTGACCGCGTATTGTTGCTCTCCCCTGCCTTGTCTCTTGTTTCTATGTGTTCCAATATCGACATGAATACATACCATTGCATTAATTCGCAATGTTTAAGTTTTTTAAGGTCTTTCAAGGTCTAAGAAGGATAATGCAGGCCGACCGGATTCTTGACGGCACGCAAAGGAGGTGACAACGCTAGGTAACGTTCGGATTGAAGTCTTTGTCGGCAGGTTGAGGCGAGGTCCCTCCATCCGATTCAGCAAACGAGCATGCCCATGCCACACCTCCCCACTTGCTCAGAATGTTCATCCTTTCGCCATCAAGCAGGTTCATCCTTCGAAGATGAGAACAATGAGAACACAGTATGTGTAGATGGTGACAAGCGCAGCGTGCAGGCTCGTCTCGTGAGCCTGGCGCATTTAGCGCCTTGGTGCACACATTCGCTCAGGCTGATGCTTGTTTATGCCCTGTGGCCGTGTGTGCAGCTCTACGGCCGTGGAAGGCTCAAATGCCGCAACACCTCAAATCGTACCGGTGCAGTGAGTAAGGCACATCGATTGAACTTTTCTAGCTAAGACAGCGACCAGATCGCTGTTTTGGCCAGAAAAGACAGATTGACCGTTTAACTTAGATGACGTCAGTCTTTGATACAACTGGATGATGATGGACACGAGCGCCTGATGGCTTCTTGCATTCATAAACTGACTGTTAAAGTTGCATTCGCAAACGGCCCCTAGCGGAATTTGCAAGCATGGACTCGAAGGCCACTCCGATGCATAGTTTCGAGCTATCGTCGCTGTACACTGAAAACTGAAAAAGATTCTGATGGCGATGCTACATACAAAGCTGATGATAGTTCCTTTCCAGTTCGTTGCCTGGCCGAAAGTCTCAAGCGTCGTGACGCGGTCTTATGATTGCCGTGGTGGTCTTGATATCTAAGGTTTGCTGTCTCTGCTCCTCTCTTCTCCACTAGATTTTACTGGATTCACCCCACTGCTCGGTGCCAAATGCAGAGTCACTTCGCTCGGCATTCACGTTACCGTGCAGCTGTGCTATCTGGTTCGCAGATGCAAATCTCGAGCTTGCCAAAACAAACGGAGTGTTTTGATCCCAGATGGTTTTGTGTCGCTGCCGCGCCAGAATTGGATGTTCAGGCTCGGTGCAGATTCGCGATGTCCAATGCTTGGCCATTTTTGAGGAAGCATTGCTGCCGCCGGAGCGCCCGGCGTGTGTCACCGTCATGGGTGGCATGAATGTCAAGCTGTGTTGCTATCACGTGCTGTTGGCAGCCACACCGTGTAGGCTTGGAATGCGCAGTCGATGTTGAGCAATGGCTGTCATGCAGCCGTTGATGAAACTCCAGTTTTGTACAGTTCGCTGCTCGCAGGAGGTCTGCGAAAATTTGCCAGCTCCTCCAACGACGAAGCCCTGCGACTGCGCTGTGCTGCCGTGCAACCCTGCACTGGCGAGCAAGTGTCCAAACCAGGCGCGGGAATACAAACAGAAACAGACCGCGGCTTGATCACGAAAGCTCCTCTCCAGAGCTTCAGTATGAGACCCAGCTTCGCCTATGAGGGCATAAAAGACAGGGCTTGCCAGCATCCGCCCATAGGGACGTTCTCGCTCCAGCTTCGGCTTCAGCTTTCGGCTTCCTCGTCCCTTCCTCCCTGAGCCGCCTTAAGGGTTCCCTACGGTGAGGCGACCTGTGCTGCTCCCGACGACTTGGATCGTTACTTCGTGGACCGGGTTGAACCAGCCGTAACTAGCGTTCAGCATCAGACCGCAGATGCATCGGAAGTCTTTCTGCGTGGCAAAAGCAGTGCAAGTTGCGCAGATCCTAGCACCGTGTTGCTCGCGACTTGCGAGGAACTAGGCTGCTTCAAGCGCGTCGACGGACACGACGGGCCGGGAAGAGAAGGACGGAATGTCGGACTTGGAGGCTTCAGCAAATTGCCACAGCTGAAAAAGATTCGATTATTAGGTGTTTTCCCATTGCTTTCGTTCCTACATGATTAATCAGAATCAGCGCTAACCGTCCAATCCCTGTTTGAGTTTAGTTTTTCACCGGTTTTCCAGACACTTAGACGGCACTAGTCTAATTAGATTGTTGTTGGTAATCTCGCAGATTTGCGCAGGAAAAACAGCGATAGACTGGAGTTGCATGGACTACGACGGCAAGCTGCCTTGCAAGAGTGGGGTGCCGCTTCTCGACGGCTGTACAAGAAAACAACAAGCACCACCAGCTCAGCAAGCAGCTGGTATCTCGATATGAGGTTCTATTCCATGCGCTCCAATGCGATGTCACCGTCCTTGTGCTACGATTTCTGCACCAGTAAGGCGGGAGTGATCAGCGTGTTTGTCATGTTTGTCTTTCTCTCGCTTTGTGTGTCATCACTCTGCCTGGGTTCGACCGCCCATCAACATTATCAACATTCATAAATCTAAGCAGGTTGGTAAGTACCGACGGCCTTGTTTCCGCATGCGTAAGGACTGTGCCGGTGATTTGCTTCTTGAAGCAATAAGATTTCGCCGAGGAGTTGAAAACTTTCCAAGCTGCCCTGAATTGGTTCCGTAAGCGAGGGGTAATGTTGCTGCCGGGTGATGTGGTTGAACGCTCTCCCTGCACAACATCGCTCTCGCATCGCATAAAGCACGACCCCAAGGTCACACTGCAAACGGTTTTCATGCAACACCTTGCTCGCCATTGGAGGTTCGACTTTCATGTCGACTGTGAAGACTGAACAAGTTGTTCCACTAGTAGTTTCGAACTGACCCTGAGGCTTCAACTCATAGTTATTCAGAATTATTCAGACATTGTCGTCATTGTTTCACGTTGAATGACGGGTCCACGCATTGCTGGGGAGGGGGGGGAGCGTTCATAGCAGACATCTGCACGAAACGTCAAAGTCAAAGTCAATGTCGCTCTGTGCGTTTATCTCTGCTTCTATTTCTCTTCGCGTTGACAATTTGTGTACATTTTGAAGATGTTGAAAGGAAAGCAAATTGGAAAGAGGAATGGAGACCATCGAGTTTGGTCGTGGTGGTCATGTTGGTGATGCTAAGCGTGCCGTGTGTACATGTACACCAACCTGAAAGAAGCCCTGGCCCGGTATGGCAGCACAGGGAGGTAGGGGTGAACAATGGTAGGAAGGCCTACCATCGACCGAAGTGTCGATACGGGGCGCCCCCACCAATTGCTCGGAAGATGAGCGAGCCCGAAGCGGAAGGACTGGGTAAGCGCCCCTGTTTCAAGTGCTACCTAGACCGGTATATAGGTCTTTGGAAAGCGTGCTAGCTGGGGGAT